ATACGGATGTAACACAGCCGTGCTCAGAACGCGTCGACGGGTTAACGCCGTCGAACACGGCCGTCGATGCATAAATTATTGAAGCAGTCACGCGGATCGTGACAAATTTAGTCGCCGCAGCTTACGATCTTAATCCGTCTAATGTATAAATATAAGTTACCCTACCGGTGTCTCTGCGGTACTAAACGCGATTGCTCGATCTCGTTTATTTATTCATCGTCGGTGTCTGAGTGTGCGGCGGTGTCTGCGCCGAGCGAGCCCGGATCAAGATGGTTTTTTATTCGGCGGAATCTCTCCCCTCGTGCAAACCTCCAGTCAATTTTGCCGGGCGAAAATAAATACGTCACGTATTTTAACGAGAGTCTCGAGACATCGCGCGCAGATGTAGTTAGCGATAAGCGCGCGTTGCGCGCATAAGTGGCCGATATAAATCTGCGCCGATGGCGTGTGTGACCCGGCGCTATGCTGATTTATGGATATCGAACTGCACGAGAATCCGTACGACCGACCGGAAATCCGATTATGGCAATACCGGGTGTTGCATCGAGGCGCGCGAGCGTCGCGAAATTTCCAGATCTCGAATCCGAAGGATCCCGAAGTTTCCGAAGAAAATTGTACCTACAAAATCGCACTTCTTCCACTCCTAACAAATTTATTACATATTTACAGGTGATATCTACGCCAAACACGCGCCACTTAGCTAATTATCAAACGCAAAAAAATCCAAGTTCGTGTGTAATTAAATAGGCATCATGCTAAAATTCTCTATCAGATTAAAAAAAAATAACTCTATTTATCTTCTCCTTCTTTAATATTTTAATTTTTTTATTTTCTTAAATATATAAATTGATGAACGATCAGAATTCGCACGTACGCATGATTTGACCGAAAAATGACACCAATGATTTCAGTAATGTCGAGCATCAACTTTTCGCACCTCTTTTGGAAGAGGATATAAACAGCTATTACATTATTCATATTCACATATATATTCATATGTATATACACAAATAATGATTCATAAAGGTTATTCTACGGATCGTACGATGTGTTTATTTGTGTGTGTGTGTGTGTGTGTAAGACACGTATCGTTAAGAACACTGTTTGTTCGGATGCTCCTATCGCTGAAGGGACGACGACGGCGACGACGCGAACGTATTTAGTTTCGTTTGCATATAAAGCGGGTATCCGTTTCTTTTCTGGAAATGCCCGGCGCACGGTTACTACATATGCACCTTGCTGAATAATTCAAACAAAGAATTAAACGTGTATTCAACGCCGTTGCCACCGGATGTCTAACCAATGTTAGGAGCGTCATTCGACACCCCGTCGTTCGAATTCCCGTTTAGTAAGTCTCAACTAAACGTTATGCGCCCTTATGAGAAATGTCGCGCTGAACGCGTATCAAAACCGCGTGGTAAAGCTTCGTAATTACATCAAGTGACACACACACGCACGCACGCAACACTCTGTGTCGTTTAATGCGTGTTTTCTTTACATTTTGCCTTGCGTGACGACTGTCTGCACTTCATTTTTATAATAGTACCTGTTTATTGTTCCGACAGTATGTTATTCTCTGGATTTCTTCGAGCGAAATTTCACGGGAAAAGTAGAGTGGCGGCGGAGTCATTCGAAGTCGAGTGACTTTTTTCGCGTACAGAGTGAAATTCATTCACTCTGAATCGTCGAGCGAATATTTTCATTCGAAATTAAAGAGTGAATCCGGATGTACTTGGCGGTTGTTGGAACAAGATCATTCTGATCGACTGAGACATCCGCGCTCGTACACTGAAGAACGTCCGATCATTTCGCCATTTCATCCGATCAAGTCGTGCCTTTGTCCGATAAAAATTACAATGTATATAGAGAGGGCGACTAATTCTGCGATTAGGTTTCATCGGTAACTGCATCGATAACTTCATCGGATAAAGGTATCTATCGCTTGATCGGACAATAAAAATAACAATCGGATACGTCATTCAATCGGTTTATCCGATGGAGATTTTTCTCAGTGTACGAATCCAGAATCCATTCCAAGTTTCAGCTAAATATTCACCCCCGCGATCGCAAACGGCAGTATTTCCGCTATCGCTTCGAGTGGATTTTCACTCGTTTTCAGTAAGATTTCACTCTGAGAAACTTAAAAAGTATCCTAGAGCATAATAATGCAGATTCTATTCCATTAAAAGGAACGCGTGCTGAGAATACAAGTTCCGTTTTACTGTGAAGGATATATTTACGCCTGATGAATTGCCTCGCGAGTGAGTAAAGCAACAGAAGAAGAAAAAAAGCAACAGCACTATTTGCGTTAACCTTGCGCGACAAACGCACGAGAGATCTTGAGCGAATATACACAGTATAGCAATGAAACGAATGATTGCGTGAATACGACACGACACTTGGCCTTCTCTTACACGCGAGAATACGGCGCAGTGATAGGAAAAGTAGAAACTGGTATGATAATGAGCTGCAAACAGTGCGACCTCCTTATGTGCTGCACGGGGCGCGCGTATATCGAACGAGGCCGGGCAATTTGCGCGAATTATTAAAACGCAAAGGTAAACGTAAGCAGAGCGGGTCAAACGTCGTTTTAGCGTCGAACTTGCCCGTTTGGATTCACCTCATTAGGACTCCAGATCGTAGACGTGGCCGCTCTGCAAATAGGGCCATCTTGATGAACTACAAATTATCCGCGCGCGTCACACGCATAAAATCGAAATACCGTTCGCAAAATAAAAAAAAAAAAATCAAATGTAACATATAGAGATACGTTTCACCCGTAAAATAACGAAATTTATTTCACCCGTTCGTTTGTTTTTTCATTATACACATCTGCATCGGTGATATATTTGGTTTCCTTTCATACAGTTGATAACGTAAAAGTCATTTGGCGGGTCGGGGGGAAAAGATATTCCAGGTAATAGTGAAAATAACAAAAATCATACAGCGGACCACGAATTGGTCAAGTTTGCTTCGTCGCAAAAACCGGCGCAACGACGGGGCAAACGGCTCTCGATCGATTTAATTGGGATCGCGTATATACATAAGCGAACAGAGGCACTACGTGGAGGAATGTCCGACTAGGTACCGGGGCGCCTATCTAATAATGCGTGTAACCACAGGTAATCCGAGCCACTATCGATGACTAATACCTGCCTGGCTTCGCAGCGCGACGACGCGACGCGACGCGCGTATCCACGCCGCCCGCGTGTGCACGTATGCGCCGAGCGCACGCATAATGCATATGGACGGTTCGGCGACATATACCACGCGACCCGAAATCGTGGCACGGAGATAGAACGCCAGAGGCGGCGATATTATCAAATTATATACCTGCACTACGTATACACCGGCGGCCAATAATTCATCCATAATTCAGTTATCTAAATAGGACACCCGGCGCACACCACTACACACATCCACGCTCGACTATGCGACTTTCGTAGCGCGTAGTCGCGCACGTGCGCGTTCATGCGCGCGCGTACGTGCGTGCGTGCGTGAGCTCAAAGCACGCCGAACGAGTAGACGCGATCTCTGGTAGCCTGTTAGGGGCGAGTGGCGAAAAATCGTCCGAGATCGCCGGTCGGGGTGCGCGCTCGTGCGAACCTCGACTCGCTATCACTCGCTATCGCCGTCGCACTTTCGTTAGTGGAGTCGTGTCGACCGCGTCCCGCTCGCGTGCGCCGGCCTTTCGGGAAGAGTGCCAAATTATTGACGACTCGGTTAGTTGGTTACTCGATTACTCGTGTAATCATCCGGTAGTAATTTTATTTATTGCTCTCGCGTATTAATAATATCCATTTCCGTCAGAGATATATATGTATATATGTAAATAAGTACATATGTATGTGTGCGTGACACGCGACATATGGCTTTTACGTGTATATATGTCACGTGAATTATCACGTTGCATAATTCGTATATTCGTTATTTATAAAATGTCACAGCGGGACGCTACGTATAATATTAGCTAAGCCGAGAATCGTTGCACGGGATGTCACCGCAAATTGGTTTATGGTTTGTTTACATCGCGTTTATGAAAACATGTTGCCGAGGTTTATCGATAAATTTATCGGCAAGCCTCTATATCTCTGTCCATGTCTTTCTCTCTCTCTCTCTCTCTTTCCTGACGGTCACGCACGTAAAAACGGAAATAATTGAGTTAAAATTAATTAATATTAGATACGCGATCTCTCGCTGTGTGTGCCGGAAATATCTTGCTTCGCTCGAATTAATTCCTAGGGAATCGATTCCGCAATTGCGCTGATTGCGGCCGACTCGCAGACGCATAAAACGCTAATTCGCACAGCGTCGACGTCGCCAGTTTCGACGTGAATTACGAGTCTTACATTGATGCCCTCTCGTTCTTCTTCTACTTTCCAAGGTAAACGTAAGCTTCGCCGTATCGCATAATTCTTGCGTTCGTGTTGTTATTCGCAACGAGCTTTAAACACGGAAAATTTTATGAGACGGTGCTTAAAAATAAGGCAGCCGGATTTAATTTTCGTTCCTCTGTGTGTTTACGACCGAGTGTTAGAAAATTAACGAGTTCGCGGCGCAACCTTGCGCAACGCCGTTCCATACAAAATTGAGAAAGTGGAGATAGTCGGGAGCGAAACAAGAGAAAATTCATGGTTGCTCTCTCGGCTGTTCGCGCGCCTGCTCCGCGAGGTAGCGTTCGATCTCGCGTAAATACATAATAAACTGTGCATATTAATATCACTTTGCGATATTATAATACGCGGGTAAAATAATATCCCCGCAAGATTAACGTCGGCGACGAGCCGGCAAATGCGTGCGCTTACACGAAGCTCCCCCCGTCCCTCCACCCCCTCAAGTTGAAATAATCCAACGTGAAATAAAACAACGGCGTAACAGCGCGCGTGTTGCGACAAAAATATCTCCGGTTGAAAGGTCGAACTAATTGGATTTCCAAGACGCACGAGGCGGCGCGCAACACGCACGAAACGCCAAAGTCAGCTGGGCCTTTTTGTTTTCAGGGCAGCTGAAAAGTCCACGGATAACCGAGCACCCGTCCGACATAATAGTCGCGAAAAATGAGCCGGTGACGTTGAACTGCAAGGCGGAGGGCAAGCCCGAGCCGGTGATAGAGTGGTACAAGGACGGCGAGCTTGTGCAGACGTCGCACAAGGGTGACACCAAGTCCCGACGAGTCCTGCTGCCTACGGGATCCCTGTTCTTTCTGCGTGTGATGCACGGCAAGAAGGAGCAAGATGGCGGTGTTTATTGGTGCGTCGCGAGGAATCAGGCAGGATCCGCCCCGAGTAGGAACGCCACTCTCACGGTCGCAGGTGAGTCTTTCCATCTTTATCCATCTCTTTCTCACTCGTTCGTTCGTTCACTCACTCACTCCCGCATGCCTCGAATTCCGCTACCTTCCACCCGGTTCCGACCTTCCGGTCCTTTTACGTTTCACGTCGTCACGTTTCCGACGAATCTGCGAAATGGACTTTGGAGTCCATCTCTCGATGAAGCGAGCGGCTGTGGAGGACGAACGATGCGCGCACGAATTGAACCGAGGCGTCGTCGAGGTTCTCTCTCTCTCTCGCGTGGAACCTCGCAATATGGATTAGCTTTCGTCGCGATACGATAAAAAGCATCGTCCGCGTAGCTCTGTAATTATTTTCACTGCGCCGCTGACTATTAGCGTAATCTTGTTGCACTCTTCGCCGGATAAGATACCTCCCGCGCGTTCTTTTCCGCGGGAATCGCGATCGGCACGAAATCGCACGGGTGTGCAACACCTTTCTTTCTTTCTCTGTCTCTCTCACTTTCTCGCGCGCGTTCAGAATCCGACTCGACGCCGGCCTGCCAAGCGAAACGTGTATAATTATGCGATCGCGACGTGCCCAACGACGCTTCGAGTCGCGATTATTTCGTTGAGTGTGGCGCGACCAGAACGCGACTGTGATATCTCAATGTTGATTTTTATACCCTTTTTTTCGGAAAGGGGGGTTCGCCGCTTGATAAATCGTTCGTGCGAACAAATCGCTCAGGCATAAATATGACTTGTCTGCGGAAAGAAACGGACGCGACCATGCGCGAGCGCAATTTTAACCCTGCGGTGAAATTCTAAATTTTGTGTACGATCTCGTAATTTTACATGACACACTCGCTTATCTCCGAGTGCTATTCATCATAACGTTCCCTCTCTCTCTCCCGTCCTCTTTCCTTTTTCTTTCTCATGATAATATATTTTATTACAAAATATACATGTCCTCGAATTTATATCCGCCGGATCGCGCGCGGGACGAGAATTCGATCTCGCTTTTAATGAAACGAATATTCGAATACGTGTGTATAAGCGGAAAATGCTTTTCCGTCACGATTCGATCACTCGAATTCCACGAGGTGCTGTTCGATCCACGCTCGGACGCTCTAACGAGGAAAAGAGAGATAGAGAGAAGGAGGGAAAGAAAGAGGAAGGGAAAGCCCCTTGACACACGGCGGGTGACGACAAAAATTGTTGTCCTCCATGAGTCGTCTTCCTCGATACTCTCGGAAGTGGTCGAAGAAGCGAGAGTTTCGAAACGACTTCTCACCATCCGCGTTACTCGCGAGGATACAAGCGGCGCGCGGTACAGCGCGACGACGAGCAGGAAAGGAGGAGGAGGAGGACGAGGACGACGACGATGACGGCGGCGGCAGCGGTGGTTGCGGCGAGACGACGATGGTCGTGTCACGGACGAACGAGACACCCCGTATACACGCGCGCAGGAAGGAATAACCGTGATTTATACCGGGATAGAAGTCGACTCCTTCGACTAAAACGAGCCATGTTTGTTTAGAGGCGATCGATATCCCGGGCGACGCACCCTCGCCTCTGCTGCCCGTGCTATATGCCTGCCTTGCTGGTTGGTAACGACCGATTCGCTCGCCTCACCTCGCCTCGCCTCGCCTGGCCTCGCTTCGTCTCGCCTCACCTCGTCTCGCCGCGCCTCGCCTGCCTCGCCTGGCGTTGCACAGGCTCTCTCTCTCTCTACTACGCGTGGCCTGACGATGCGACACCGACGCCTGTGTATACCGACGAAGAATGCACTTTGCCCGCGTGCTGCTCCGCGTCCGTGTGTGGGCGCGTGCATGCGTGCGTGCGTGGTGAGCACACACGAGGCGAGGGACGCTGCCCCTTCTGTGCAAGAGGGTATAGCCCCCTTCCTCGTACGCAGCGTCGTCATCCTCGCAGAGTCACTCTCCTCGCGCGCTCGCTCAAGCCTAATCCCAATTATGATCTCGAGAGAAAAGATGCCATACACACGGAGAATTGAATTAGCGGCCGGAATCAATGTAGCGTCCGGTATGATCCGAATGCCGGGGAAACATCTGGGCAACCGGGGCCGACTCTAATGTTCCGATATTAAACGTCGCGTTATTGGATATTCCAATATATATGTACATATGTAGATCTCTCGCTCGAGTTCGCTCTCTCTCTCTCTTTCCACTTTTATTACCCGCGAGCTCGTGTTTGCACGAAGAATTCGAATGGACGAGCGCGTGATGCCCGGTCGAAGGGAAATGCAAATATGCGCGCGGTGCGTCACGGAAGATTAAGAACGATAATGGAGAATCTCGATAATACAGAGCGCGAATCGTCCGCCCCCGCGCTACCTTCCGTGTTATTCCCTTTTCCGTGGGCTCGTTGTTTCGCGAGTGCTTGTGCGACGCTCCCTCGCACGGGTGTACACACACAAACACACGCGCGCGTACATATACAGGTGCAGAGAACCCCGCGTTTCACGTTTCGCGTACGCGAGCATCGGTTACGCCGATGCATCCGAGCTTCGTAATTTATAGAACACGATATCGCTCGTTAATTGCTTATTGTAATACGCGCAGCTATCCGTAACGTGCATTTATGCGACAGCACACGTTAAATATCCAGCCGTAATGGGAGTGCGCTTAGCAGGGAGCAAACCGGAACGGTACTGTGGTGTGGTACGCTCTGTCTCTCTCTCTCTCACACACACACTCTCTCTTTCTGTACTCGGCGCGCAGTTCTAGGATCTCCGAAGGTATCGATATTGCGTCGCGATAAAATTTCGGTCGATGCATCTGCGCGCCGTAATTATTCGGATTTCCTACCGCGCGCGGCGGCGGTCGCTCTCTGCGCTGGAATACGCACGGAGATACGGCGGCGAAATTTCCACTCGGACGGAGATTCTCGCTCTCTCTCTCTCTCTCTCTCTTTCTCTCTCTGTTTCACCCGATGCGCGACTCTCGGTCTTAAGGCATCGCCGCAAACCTCGCCTTTCTCGGTAACTAGATTCGCACCAAGTGGTCGTCTCGTTTTCTCATTCTCTTTCTCCCTCTCTCGGTCTCTCTTTCTCTCTACCCGAGAGCTCTAACGTAGCATAAATAGGCCGTCGGATCGCCAGCTGAGCGGCTTTTGCGCTCCATACGGATCGCGCGAACCTGAAGCGAGCGCAGACAGCCGGACAACACGGCTTCTCGATCGGACCGTAACGCGTAATGCGTTAGCTTACCGCGTTACAATAGGAGCTTACGCATACGGTAGTCGAATAGACCGAAGTGCGCGCTATGGATGTCACCACCCTCGCCGCCGTCACGACGTCCCTCACACTGAGAAACCCATTTAGAAGCTATTCAACTACTACCGTCACGCAAAATTGAATACTTTTACCTTTCTCCCTCTTCGTCACTTTTTATCACTTGTAAAAAAATACTTGGACCTCCTTCCAATATTACATGTGGAATTACCCTCCCCCCTCCCTTCTTGCCATCCACATTATATTTCTAGATTTTTTTGGATCCCAGCACGAAAATAAGCATCGTGTGCCGAAGGCCTAATGTGACGTTTCATG